CCCCAAAACCCCAAAACCCCAAAACCCCTCCTCTTCTCCTCTAAAAAATACAATATTAAATAAAACATGCATGTAATCCTTCCTTTCACCCTTATAGTCCACTCAGACCTCAACATTTCACGGTAAATTCCTTCGTAATCCTCTCATATTCCAAATTACAGTGAAAAGTTAGCCTTTAAAGGCTAATTTAGGCCAAATTATCCATCCTGTTTTATGGGGCTTTAAAGTGGCTTTGGAGGAGCCGTAGAGGGATTTTGAGGAGAGGAGAGGAATAAGGGGGTAGGGAGGATAAGGAGGAGAAGGGGTACTGGGAGGGGGAAAGTGTTGTGTTAGGGGTCTTTGGGGCCTGGATTGGGTGGTTATGGGGGTTAGGAGCTGAGTGTTGTGAGAGGTTGTTGTAGAGGTGAAGGATGAGTGATAGGAGGTAGTTGATAGTTTAAAGTTGAATAGTGAGAGTAATGACTTTTTTCATACCTTATTTAGTATCTTTCAAGAAATACCAGCTCTTGGATAAAGAAAGGGAAGATAAATATTTGCATCATAGTTTGTATTCATACCATCAGAGTGAAGTAGGGCTAGCAAGTTTGGCGCAAGCTATTGAATTCAGATGGTTCTCTACTTTTTATTTTTCATCTGCGCTCTACATATCCTTCTCTTGAACTATATCCCTGATTCATCAACTCTATGCCATCATCTTTGCTTTGCTGAATAGCCAGAGCTCTTTAACTTCTTAAGTATTGTTTTTATTTCTTTCATACAAGCTAAGGTTGCCTATATACTCTTTAGGCTTTATTTTGTGTTGGTTAACCGAGACTTTTGAACAAACTATGCTACTAGGCTCCTTATTGTAAAATCTTCAGTGAAGGCAGTACTTACTCTGTTGCAGATAGCTTTACCTTAGCCATATCTTCTAAAAATTTCCTCTTAATTTTCTTGGCTATCTTTGTACCACCTCCACCTGTATTATACCTTCTATTCAACTATTCTCTCTCCTAACCCCCTTCCTTCATACCCCCTTCACTTCAACCCTTTCTCCCCCCAATGTCCTCCTACCTCCAAACCCCCACCTCTCCACTCCTCTCCCCTTCCCATCCTCCCTTGCCCCTCTACCCCCCTAGGCCACCTCGCCCCACTTGTACTGCCCAAAAGTCCTTCTGACTCCTAGCCGTGAGGTTTAAGCCAAGTGGATTTTTGAGGCGAAATTTTTGATTTTTGAGTGGGGATTTAGAGGAGAAGTTCAGTGGTGGTGGGATTTTAATGGGTTTTGGTAGGGTTGAAAGGAAGATTGGGGGTGAAACAACCGGTGATGGGAAGGAATAGGAATAGTGTGAGGAGTAGGAAGAGTAAGGTCGCTCTGAGATCTGTGTGGGTTGAAAGGTGAGGTTTGAGAGGGATTTATAGGTCCTCGTCGAGTATTGGGAGGAATAAGATCACGCCCTAGTACTATTACGCAGTTTTAGTAATTTTAAAACAGGAGAAGTCAGGTATGTGGGTAAAGATTGTGGGAGTTATTTTTTTATTTTATAAAGCTTCTTTTATCAAGGAAAATTTTATGATATGAACGATCCTCGCGCATGATTAAAATTATATTAAAAAATCTAGAAATAAAAATATCTAAACCTCTGTTAATAAATAAAAATCCTCTAAACTTTTGCTAAAGCAGACTTGGTAAATTCAAAGAATTTAAAATTAAGCCCCTCAGCTATGTCATACTGCGCCAAAGGTTTCTTTCAGGCCAAATTTTAAGTAAGTCAAAGAAATTTTCTACCGCAGTTCGTGTATCATTGAAGTGCTTACTCGGATTTAGGGTCCAGCCACCAAAACTGAACAACTTTTACCCTGATCTACCAATTACCCAAGAAGCCAACCTGATCTTTGTAAAGCACCCACTACGATTAACTAAGAAAAACACTAAATACAACAAAAGGGAGATCAAAGATTATGTAAGCATGAAAAAGGATGTACACAACAAGATGAAGAGATCTAAGTCAATCAACAAGTTACAGAAGCGCAAAAGTATAGGCAAAAAGTCCTCAAAGAATACGAAATCTAAGGCTATCCAATTGCTTGACCTCCTTTACTCACATGATAAAAGTAAAGAATTGATCTGATCTTTTAGAGAACGAAATACTGTCAACTATTAAGCCAGATCCTGAACTATCTTCTGTAATATAAAAATCTGCTTATTTCCTACTTTCTTCTCAAAATTATTGAGAAGATTTGAACCAAACTTCCTTGTGTTATTTCTTTAGATCTCTCTAGTTGTGGTATCTTATAGAAATATAGGGTCTTAAGAGACCAAACTCAACATATTCGAATAGCCCGAAGAAAGTTCAAAATTACCTCCAATCTTTGGAATTGAGAAAGGATCTTATCAATTCAGAATTATGAGATACTTCTGGTGTAAGCCTCACGTTTATGAAACAAATAAGAATTAGACTATGTTTTAAGTCAAAAAGATTGGTTAGAGAGATTTTGGTTCATACTGTTAAAACACTCCAGGAATAGAATTGGGCTATTGCTTCATAAAAATGAGCCTTCTCCCTCCAATCTACACAAAAATTAGCATAAATAGTAGAAGAAGATGTTTGCACAGCAGTATCATCTTGCTTCAAGCCACCATTACTAAAAATCCGCTAAATTCTATACTTTCCTTCTACGAGATAACTTCTTTCTAGTCAGTCCAATCAACGATCCTTAATCCAGCTGGGACCTCTTCCTCTCAAGAAAGAGAGAAGGTGGTGTTTCACACAAAGATAAGGATCCAGAAGAAGCCTAAGCAGAGCAGGAACTTGATCTTCTCAAATCCGTACATTCGGGATGCGATGTCTCTTCCTTCATAGATTGAATTTCAATTTGACTAATAGCCTAAGGGGTTTTGGGGTTTTGGGGTTTTGGGG